TTACCGAAAGGCCCTTATTAAGGGACCTGAAAATTTAACAAACGTGAGGTAACATAAAGTTCTACCTACACGGTGAACCTAGTGCCTCTACCTATCTTAGTTTAAATATTCTAGAGGGTTAAATTGACCCCCACCCGAGCGCGTCGATTTAAACCGGCCACCCGAGCGCGTGCTAACGAATGGCCAGGGTGCAGAATAACCAGACGGGATGCGGGAGAAGAAGGCATTTCCTTTACGCAACGGCAATATCTGCCTACAAACATGAATCATTTGGCTAGGGCATGACATGTGTGTGCGCGCATTTGTTAGCATGGGGCTCTGTATACACGTCCGACGCGCGCGCAAAGTGACTGTATGAACAGACCATGATCGGGGTCAGCAGTGAACATCCGCGAATGTTTTCGTGTAATCCCTTAGAATGAATTACGGGGATTAATCGGCTTGTTCATATGCACTGAAACTGGCGACAGGGATTGTAGTAACATGTTTAAGGAAATAGGCTTCAGGGCATACACTCATGAAACGTGTAAAAACGACAAATTGATGCTTATTTTACGTTGCTGGGTTGCTGCGTGGTTTGCAACATTTGCCAACCAAATGTGCAGTGAAATGGGAGTGTAGAGATATGTGGAGTGTCGGATAAGTTGTGGTGTCATATCAGGGAATTAGAAACCAGTTGAGCCATCGGTTGCTGATGTAATATTAAGTTTAAATGCAACGAGTGGAATGTTCGAACCGCAAAGGACACACGGTGGGTAAGAACGAGGTCGTAGGCCGAGGGGCTCATGAACTTTGAGCGCATTCTCAGCTGGAGCGGCCCCACCCTTCCCGGCCGCCATGCGTTCTAGAAGGCAGTATATTTACAGCTACTGTCCGCAAGTTCATGCAGTTCTTAGTAACAAAGCGTGGAGTTATTTAACAGCTGTGCTGCATGCATTAATACAAAATTGCAAGACATCCGTGTCATCAGACGTTTCTTTTACGGCACTGCAATTCGGTACAATGCCAACTGCCGATCTATTTTGCATGGGAAAAATAAAGGTCTCAACTTTCAGCAACACAGAAACGCTGATCGACGACGAGTCTAGATCCCGACAACTCCGCTGCGGTGACACAAAGCTACGCAATTAAGCCGAGAAGAAGAAGAACCTTCGCATTGGCAAACTTCGTGTCGATATGTGGAGCAGGTCATAGCGCTGTCGTATAAAAAGACGAGGATCCACGCGTATTTAACTACATTTTGTGTGTGTGTGTGCAGCTGCTGAGCCTATATGGCGTTACCTGCCTCTCACCCGAGCAGAAAGGGCGGGCACCGCGGTGAGTCTCGTACCTCTGGCTTCCCAGATTTGCAGTGGTTAACGCAGACGCGTTAACCACTACACTACCGGTGCCCCAACTACACATTTTTAAGCAGAGACTTGATATCCACAAACAAACGGGGTGAATACGTGGGACCAACAGCACAGTGTGTGCGAATGCAACGCCCACAACAGGCCAGTGGATTCCAAACCGTCCGGCCCATGGGCACATAAACAATCGACCGCAAAGCGACAGTCAGTGTGTCCGGGATTTACCCGAAACTCTGGAGCTTCTTTTGCGATGTTGTGGTCACGATGGCTAAAGCCAGCTGCATTTACAAGTTTCCGTCGACTGGAATTGGTAAGCCCTGGCAGACTCATGAGCAAGCGATATCATTTGTGGATGATTTTCAGCAATGTCACTTGTGAATTATTACTGGAAAACTGCGTCACCGGATCTCCGCCTGTTCACTATCATGGAAAGTACACTTTTCAACGCACAGATCAAAACCCGATGATGTGAGTCACTAAGGATACCTGCTGCACTGGTGCAGCTGGTTGCTCACGTAGTGTGCACAGTGAGAACTCACCATTGTTATATGTGCTACAGCGGCGCTTTCCCCAAGCCCCACAAGGCGTCTCACTGGTAAACTAAAATCGCTTGGTTGATGGTCAAATGACACGCTATTTAACACGTCAGATCAAAAGAACCAGTAAGAAAAAAAATCCGCGTCATCTGTAGAGGAACTGGTGCCGTCACTTGTGTGGGTAAGATACTAGATACTGTAATGCTAGAAAAAAGGTACTGAAGAAACACTTTTTAGGTCGCGCATTGTACGTTACATGTTTGTCTCAAACGGAGTAGCATGAATAATACTGCGATCGAAGCATAACTGCCCGAGCAAACATTACTGGCGACGCACACGGTATCTGTACGTACGCGCAACGCAGCTCAACAGCCACTGACGGGGTCATACTGAGATGCGGCTCGGCGGGGCGGGTCCAGCGGCCGGCTCTCGCTGCAGACAGGGTCCCAGGCAAAGGTCAACTCCACGCCGCGGGCCGCCGGGCGCGGAGAACGAAGTCGTGGCCTCGACCACGCTCTAGTTGGGACGAGCTTTTCACAAGCTGCCGGCTATGGCATGCAGGAACGGTGGAGACAGGATGGCAACGTGGAGTGAGCGAGCGGGTTTGCACAAAAACTAATCGCGTGCTGTGAACAGGCACGCGTGCTTGCTGATGATAAATGACCACGTTAGGTTGACATGCATTGCTGGCATAATGATGTGGGTTCAACATTTGACATCAGGTATGAGCGGTGGTGCCCAGCTGTGCAGCACTGTACCTCAGACACCGGTGCTTAAGGCTCGTGCAGAAGTAACCGAGGTTTGCGGTAAAACCCACCGCTCCACGCGTTTGGCCCAGCCGGAATCCTAAGTAATTTAATCTAACGTGTAGTTGATAGCTTTCATAAGCCCGTGTCCGACAACTATTGCAATTCATCAAAAGGCTTATCGCCTTTCAGAAACCGGAACTAAGAAAGTCTGACACAGCGACGGTCTCCCGCATAAAGAAAGGCTGAATCAGAGGCGATACACGGCAGTGTGGTTTCAAATGAAGTTCAAAATTCCACAGCGCTGTGGTTTGGTCCTACTGCACTTCATTTTCAAACTTCAAGAAGAGGCGTCGATGTACGACCGACAAATAGACTGATCCATCATTGCCGACGTCACGGCGGTGTTCCTTTATAGTAACGATTGGTACCACAACGTAGTAATTAGTCGGCAACTGTCCTTAAGCTAACCCAACCGGCTGTATGCATGACCACGGGTACAGCACATAAAAAGACCACCAAGTGTAAATCGTGATGCACACCGGAGCCTGGCACAATTGCGAGCTATTTGTCGGAAACTAGCGTGCGACGGCAATTATTCCCAGTAGCTGCTGGAATTTCATTTGTTGAAGCACCAGCCGCAATGTGAAAATTCACGATCCACTATACGCCAAAAGGTAATTAGACTTTTGCTGGAATGCGTACCTTCCCAAATGCCCCAATTATATTGAATGTTTGGAGCATACAGGTGTAATTAACATCACATAGGGTTCGAATCAAATACCTCCAGCCACGTAGCAACTGGCTCAAGGAAGAAATGTCCAACAAGAGTATCAGGCTGGCGCAACTGCTCCATTCGGTAAAATGAAGAAAACTGCACTATGTTTAGAGCGCTCCAAAGCTTAATTTTTGGGACGCTTTTTAGGTTCGGGTTTCAAAGCGAACAACGTTTCAGATTTTCCCCATCATCTCGTTTTCATCCGTGCTGTACGCTTTCTACACTAAGGTAGAAGCAGCCCCGGCCCGTCCCTCCTGCCGTGGTGCAGCTCCGGGCCGCCTCCCTGCCGTGGTACAGCTCCGGGCCGCCTCCCTGCCGTGGTGCGGACGCGGGCCGTCTCTCCTGCCGTGTTGCAGCCCCGGGCTATCTCCCTGCCGTGGTACAGCCCCTGAATGACTCCCTACCGTGATGCAGTCCCAGGCTGTCTCCCTGCCGTGGTACAGCCCCTGAATGACTCCCTGCCGTGGTGCAGCCCGGGCTATCTCCCTGCCGTGGTACAGTCCCTGAATGACTCCCTGCCGTGGTGCAGTCCCGGGCCGTCCCCCTGCCGTGGTACAGTCCCGGGCCGTCTCCCCGCCATGGTACAGCCTCGGGCCGTCTCCCTGCCGTGGTGCAGTCACGGGCCGTCTCTCCGCCGTGGTGCAGCCTCGGGCCGTCTCCCTGCCGTGGTGCAGTCCCGGGCCGTCTCCCCGCCGTGGTGCAGCCCCGGGCCGTCTCCCTGCCTTGGTGCAGTCACGGGCCGTCTCTCCGCCGTGGTGCAGCCTCGGGCCGTCTCCCTGCCGTGGTGCAGTCCCGGGCCGTCTCCCCGCCATGGTACAGCCTCGGTCTCCCCTCCCTCAGCCCAAAGCCCCGACAGACAGCCCGCAGCGCCGGCCCGAAGCTGCACAGCGGCGGTCGTCCCCTGCAGAGAGCCGGCTGTGATTCGGCGGCGGCGGCGGCGGCGGGAGGTGGCCGGCGGGCACGCGACAGTCGAGGACCCCGGCCGGTATAAATAGCCGGACCGGTGCCGCCGCGCGCCGTCCCCGCTGGCCGCACCGCCGCCGGGCAAACAGGAGTCGGGTGTGGCCGGCGGCGGCGGCCGGCCAGAGCCCGGTGCCATCCGGTCGCCGATGGATCACGCTCATATTTCGGCCTTTTTGCTGCCAAGTGGCGGCCCACAGGTCACCAGCTGGCAACAGTTCCGCAGTGGCCGTCGTAAAAATAACAGAAACAAAGGGCCAAGTGGTGCCATGGAGATGCCGTACCGTCGTACAGGTGGCCAGCGCGCGGCGGCCTCAGAAATGTGATGTGAGCATGGACCAGCGCCAGTGCGGGTGGCCACTGAGCGGAGGCTGCACAGGTGGTCCGGGCAGGAGCCGCAAACATAGCCAACAGAACGGTGCTCTGGTGAAAGACGATCAGCATGGCCCTCGGTGACCGCCGGACACACGCGAGCGCCGGCCAGGGCCCACCCCGATGGGAATCGGACAGCGCGCGCACAGGCAGGAGCGGCCGGTGCTCTTACAGGTGGGGCCAGGCGGTGGCCGCCGCACCAGGTCGGTGCACAGCGGCAGCACCAGAAGCAGACCAGCGCCGGTCGGCAGACACTCACCTGTCTTCACCAGCTTGAAGCTGACTCCGCTGAAGGTCTTCAGCAGGGGGCTCAGCGTGGGTGCGCTGAGGTCGCGCAGGCTGGAGCTCTCGCTGGCCATCGCTGGCTCGGATCGACTCGGAGGGTCACTGCAAACACAGCCACAACTTTCGATGCTGGCGTGCGGCCCCTCCACCTACACCACGCAAGCGGTGCTCGAAGATTGGGACGCCGGGGCACGCCGCCTGAATAGTGCCAGGGTAGACACGATCGCCGCGCGGTGGCGGCGAAGACAGGGTCGCTGTGGCTCCAGCCTGCTCCCTGCTGCTGCGGCTGGCTCCCGCGGATCCCGCCCGGCTCCCTGCGGCTCCTGCCGGCCCTCAGCGCCGGACCAGAGCGCGGCGGTCGTCCGCACGCCCTCGAGACCTCTGCCGGCCGCGGCTGACACTCACCAGGCGGCGGCGGCGGCGGCGGCGGGCACGGGCGGCGGCGGCGGGGCGGGCACTTCGAGCAAAGCCTCCGCTGGGAAGATCACGTACATCGCCTGGGCCGGCTGGCCATGGCGGGCGCGTCGACTCGCCGGTCCGCGGGCGAACTGGCACCGCCGGCGGCCCGGCCGCGCGCTCAATCGCCACCACCTGGCCGGCTGCGGCGCGCGTCGGCCCCCGCCGGCGCCGACGGAGGCGGCCCGGCCCGGCCCGGCAGGTCCAGCGGCGCCGCCGGCCGACGGCCCGGCTGAGGCGCCGCCCTGCCAAGTGGGCAGACCGGCCGACGCCGAAATTAGCCCGCCTTTACTGGAATTGATGACCGCTGCTGTGTTGACACGGACCAGTGTTACGTGTCGTTTAGGCAGCGTGGGAATCGACGGTGTCATATTTGGCCGCAGGTAATCGCTGACACTGCTGACCTTACTCAAGGCACTGCTGATGACACGTGGACAGCTGTAACCTCTGGCTTAGGCTATGCTCCATAACTGATGTCATTACGTCATATGGTGATCCAAAGCCGCTTGGGGTAATAGTCGAAACCAGTTACTGCCGCCGCCAGTTGCTGTTGTCGAGAAGCATATCATATCGAGGTAGAATCTGAAGCCTTATCTTATAACCGGGGATCGTTGCAGCGGTGCAATAAACTGCTGTTTATTTGTAATCTTTTAGAAACGAGTGCGCCATATGTTGCCTGGGTGTATGAATGCGTCAACTGCTTGGAGGCATTCGCGAAAGCAGCTAAATGTGGCCATTCTCGTTTTCAAATCAATTCAAAACACGCAGTCACCACAAAAATATATAACGGGCCATGATGTGCACAAGAAATATGGGCGTTTGGCGTAAATACGACGGGGATGACGGCATTTCACGCCGCGTCAGCAAATAGCATAATTATAGAATTGTCATCTGTTTTCCTTGACTGGCACGTCGAAGTTCACGCCCTTTGCAGAATCCCATGGGTGATTCAGACGCCCTGTTTTAAGTCTCCCAGCTTACGCCATTTCGCTAACGCAAACGAGTACGCTGGACGATTTCACAAAACGCCTGCATAACCCTCCTTGGGTATTTCCGAAGCACCCGACATTAAAGCATCGTGTCAGTTGCATAAGGCTGTGAATGCGATGCCTTCATTGGTCTGCCTGAAATCACTATTGTCCCAAAGAAGTTGGGGGTCAACACAAGTAAGCTGGGATTCAAGCTAGGCGTGTAACAAATAGCTCCGAAGGTTCGAAAGCACAGCATTTAAAACACCGATGTTTTCGTGACATCAAAGTCAGACTTGCAGCTGTCACGTCAAATGTTGTGCACACGTTTACAAAAGGCTTGCGACTGGACGCATTTGAACTCTTTCTTTTTGCTGAGAATCAAAACATCCTGTCATTTCATCTTTTCGTCTATTGGCTAGCCTGGTTGACTTCATACGCAATTATCAGGAAAAAAACCAGGGCGGAGAGAAATTCGGCTACCTCACCAAACGAAACTGAGCTTTTCCGCCGATTGCGCAGGACCTCCAGTGCGGCGCGAAACTTTTCGGAACGTATGCGGACATCCGACACTTCTTGCCGCCAGGAACACGAAGCGCAACGACGCCAATCTTGTGGCTCACATGAGGCTCACACGCGCTGATGGTACGGCGAAGAGTATTGGGATCTTCCTCCCCATGGGGTGATTCGCGGTAAAGCGGTGAGCGCATGGCTTCAGCGTTACGGGGCTTGCAGCACGCCGTACGGTACTGGTTTGAGCCTGGACGGCAAATACATCCGATGGGGCACTGACCCTGAAACAGGGAGCGTTCCCGGTAGGCCTGTGATGAGCACGTAACTTTGATGCTTCCGCCCGGCTTTGCAATACTACTCTGATGTAGTATGGCACGTGATACTGACGAGTAATACTACTCATATGTGGAAGTGCACGCTATGCCGTGCCCAACTAAAGCACATTGTTGCAGAAATTGGCAATCATGGCGCGGATGTGTGGAGAGTGCGGGGCTTGCCGCCCATCTTTGGTGCTGCCATTAGCACCGGGTTCTGGCGGTGTGCTCCCGCCCACTTCCTGCTCTGGCTGTTATCTCCTCGGTCTACCTCACCAGTCCCTCCCACATATGACCAACGTAGTCGGTGCGCCCCAAAGCCCAAATCATCATCATCATCATCAGTCCCTCACAGCCCTTCACGCTCCTTCAGAGTGTCATGCTCCTCCAAACGCATCTCGCTCTCTGCGGAGGACCGCTGGCTTGCGTCGTGGCCTCTCTCTGGACCCTGTTCCAATTCGGGCCCATCTCCACGCGTCAGCACTGTCAATTCGGACGCGTCTCCACACGTCAGTACTGCAACTTTGGACGCGTCTCCACGCGTCAGTACCGTCACTTCGGAAGCGTCTCCACGCGTCAACACCGTCAATTCGGACGCGTCTCCACACGTCAGTACTGCAACTTTGGACGCGTCTCCACGCGTCAGTACCGTCACTTCGGAAGCGTCTCCACGCGTCAACACCGTCAATTCGGACGCGTCTCCATGCGTCAGTACCGTCACTTCGGACGCGTCTCCACGCGTCAGTACCGTCACTTCGGACGCGTTTCAACGCGTCAGTACCGTCAATTCGGACGCGTCTCCACGCGTCAGTACCGTCAATTCGGACGCGTCTCCACGCGTCAGTACCGTCAATTCGGACGCGTCTCCACGCGTCAGTACCGTCAATTCGGACGCGTCTCCTCGCGCCAGCACCGTCACTTCGGACGCGTCTCCACGCGTCAGTACCGTCAGCAGGGGCGTCATAGCGCCGGATCGCAGCCTGTAGTTTCCTGGCGGCGTTATTTGTGCAGTATGCGGTCGGATGGCGCCGTCTCACGAAGACCTACCCGGGACTCGCAGCCAGAGAGAACACCGTATGGTAATCGACCTGTCACACAACGTAGGCTTCGGCTCTGCCGACACTGAAACGTCCGAGAACTGCCTTAGTCTTATTAATTTTAGGTGCAGGGTCGCACGCAGGAATTCTTTTAAGGGTTATACTTGTAATAACCCGTTGGAAAAATCGAAGTGCGGCCAGATTCTTCACAGGAGTGCTGAGACCTTGCACGGCGATGTGGCATTTAACCCAGAAGTGGGGCCGATCCGAGATGACTCATTCAACACAGCGTCGCTGGTTATTCAGTGGAGGGATTCATGGCACTCCCGCCTGCTAGAATATTGCCAGCAGTTCTCGGCAAGCTTTCAGCGTGCGTTTTATCTGAGTGAGAGCAGGAACCAGGATTTCGTTTCATGGCTTTGGTATTTCACGAGTCATTTTATCCTCCATCGTTGGTGCTTTCAATACTAACGTGATCGACTTGACCTCTGACGTTTAGGTCTCTGAAAGTGATAGGGCACACCGACAATCTCCTTCCCTCGACTGCAGAGTCAGTGCTACAGAAGAAGCAGCGATTCACAAAACCCCGCAGCGGCTCGTGATGGTGCATGCGTGTCTGGTGAAGTTACGAATCATCTTTTCTCCGTCCCTTAACCCAGTGCTTTAATAAAACCCCATAAGCTTGTCAAGAGTCCTTTAAAATGAACATGAGCTAATTGTGTTTTGGTGGTCACTTTTTTGTTTCTTGCTTCGCTCTCTGTCGTTTTCGTTTTCGTTTCTTTGTCGCGAACTACTCGTCCAATAGCTGAGTGATATCTTACGGCACCATGCAGGGATTTATTTATTGCAGTCTCGTGCAGCCTTAAAGTATGCAACATAATTGAACACGTGAGCGACGAATGTGATGTTAGTGTTGGAAATAGAGTGTCGTAGGTCAATGGCACGCCCAGAGTGGCAGTCAGTCACCGTACCAGGACATTTTGAAGGGAATGCGACAGACGTGAATGCACATCCTTTTCCGGAGCATTAGCGATTGTAGTGGCCATACTAGCGCTGCACCAGTGATCACGGTGCAGCTATGGTTTCAACTCGGCTCTCCCCCCCCCCCCCCCACTGATTGCCGAAGGCACTTACCTCTCAACCATCACTCCCCTTCTTTCGCAAGACTGAGACTGGCATTGGTGCGGGCTTATCATCTTCATCACAGAACTCAAAGTCTACATCCATTTTGTGTATTGGCTTAGCCGGTAAGGTATTCATTTCCAGACAGCCTAGCATGTCGAATCACGTAACCACATCAAAATAGTCCTGAACCCTCTTCTCGGATGTCTGTTTTGGAGCCCGTGGTCTGCATCTCACATCCACTAGTACAATATCGGGATGTTTGATCTCAGGAACGCCTGGTGGCCTTGAACTTCAGTGGCTTCTTCCCCAGACATAGCGTGGACCTCGAAGTCTTTGAAACTATGGAGCTATTTCATTGGCTGGTGACAGTCTCTGTGCCGTTAGACTGTCTCGAAGGCTCTTGATCACTCCGTGCCTATTAGCCTTCCCTCGGTAGTTTTGGACTTCTGAGGATGCTGACAATATTACGGTTACCTGGTCACTGCAAAGTACGTGGTTGTAATATACCGTTTCAAACCTGGAGTTATTTATCGAAATCATTGCATTACTCGGATAGTGGGTGCGCTTGCTGCCGGAGACAGCATACGGCTGTTATTTTCAGCTTTATTTCGTGTGTGTTTTCATAATCATTCTAAACCTTCCCACCGCCTCACAGACTAGGGCCCTATGCTGTTCTGGAGATTTGATAGAAATTGGGGCAATTGCATTCCTACTCCTATTTGACACTTTGAGTCACCTATAAACAAACCACCGGGTAAGATGTTTTGAGCGGAGCAGCATCAGGTTATTCAGCGTAACGTTTCGCCTTAAAAGGAGTGTTCCACATTTGCATAGGATTTTGAACTGAAATAGTCATCTTGACAATCATTCACTGACAATCATTTGTCCGTCACAGTGGCTCAGTTGGTTAGAGCGCATGCCTTCCGATCCACCCACCCGTGGCGGGGTGGGTTTGAGTCGCTTTAGGGCGCTCGCTATTTGCCCTTGACAGGTATGGCCTGCGGCCG